CTGGGATCGTTGTGTTCACTCCCAGGGGAACTACTTCGAGGGTGATGGATGAATTTAATACCTGAGATAAGTGTACGGGTTTTTATACGCGCAGTCCTTAAACTTTCCGATCGCATCTCGTATAACCCGAAATAAAATAAATGGGTGTCGGATGGGTTCACGTAAAGAACATGCGGTTTAACCCGGTTGAGATTTAAAATTGTGGGAATTTGCCCTGGGACGAGAATTTAGGCGAGAGGGTACGAACCGACGGGAGTCAGTATGAGGTAACACGCGGGTAGGCTGACGGGAGGAGGAAGGGTGCGTATTAAAACTGCTTGGGGATCTGCGAAGCACCTGGTTTTCCTAATAAAAAGTCAAAGTAAGCTAAAAAGTTTCTCTTCGTTGGCACAGAGTTTGAGGCTGTGAAAAGGGGCGTTGTCATGGCAACAGTCTGCTAATGAGGTCACTCCCCCTCACCCAGCCCTCACTAACTGGCTGCAGCTGAAACTGGTTGGCTTGTTCATCGTCTCTCATTTACTTGTCACCTCTGCAATTAAAATGGAAGGGGAGATTAAACGGGAAGAAAATTGCGCCTCTGGGTACTTGGGGGAGGGGGGGTGTCGAAAGCGGGCAGGCAGCAGCCCCCATGTTTGTATCGTTGCCAATTTCCTGTGCTACCAGGACGTTTTTCATGAGTAGGTTTTATGACTGAGAATGCCCGGCGTTAACCCATGGTATGAACGTATAGAGGGTTAACTGGTTATATACGTGTTCGTCGTACATGTTTCAGATGTCAAATTTGTATTTACTGAATTTGCTCGGTTTCCGTCTGTGGTGTAGTTTTGAGTGACGCCATTAAAGAAACTACTGAGAGTCGTACAGAAATTTTGAAATACAGGTAGGACCCGGTTTACGCCGGCGTTAGGTTCCTGAGATTTCCGGCGTAAATTTAAGCAAAAATATAATTGAAACGTACGTAAATACATTAGGTTCCGTTCTAAGATTTTCAGTAATCAACACAAAATACTTGAAACATGTTTTATTTTATGAAATTTATGTATTGAAAATTGATACAATATTTTTATTTTCCGTCTATACACAAACTTAAAATAATGTTGTTTAAAATTATTTAAAATTGTAACATTCTCAGTAGACACTGCATCTTGTTACATTTTTTGTATCGACGACAAATTAAAATAATCAATAAACGCAACGCAAAATATGTACAACAGTTTTTAAAATATATTAAAATTTATAGACCTGATGATGATGTGATACACATTGAAACATGTCGTCGATACAAAAAATGTAACAAGATGCAGTGTCTACTGAGAATGTTATAATTTAAATAATTTTAAACAACATTATTTTAAGTTTGTGTATAGACGGAAAATAAAAATATTGTATCAATAAAACACAAACATGACGCAATTAAGATATAAAAAAAAAGAAATTTTGAAATACTGGTAGGACTCGGTTTACGCCGGGGTTAGGTTCTTAAGATTTCCGGCTTAAATTTATGCAAAAATATAATGGAAACGTACGTAAATCCGTTCCAAGATTTTCAGTAATCAACACAAAATACTTGAAACATGTTTTATTTTATGAAATTTATGTATTGAAAATTGTATAATGTTTGAGAAAAAGAAATGAAAATTTACTGATTTAAAAACGACAAAATAGATGTCTGTTTGGTTTTCCTCTTTTCTGATAATAAGTTATAATATGGCTGTAGAATTGTATCAATTCCTCTGTTAATGGTTGAGCTCCGCTCCCAGATGGGGTCGTTGCTACAGAAGGTCTCAAATCCCTTATTAATAAGAGGAATAGCCTCTTGCGTTGATTTCATTGTCAGTTTCACTTTCATCTGTGTCATCTTTGGACAGTTCAGTCCTGTTCTCTGCACATCAGTGCATTTTTGTCAGTTCACTTGCAGTTCTAAGTCCGTGGTTAATGTAATTTGCTTTTTCTCGTCGCATTTTATATTCCGTTTTTTGTTTAATTATTTAAATTTTAGGCCGTAGTTTATCGTTTAGTATTATAGATTTGTTACAATGTCGGGACCATCTGTGTCTAGGAATTCGGGCAGAGTCATGACTCATCACCCCCCTCCAATCGTGATCTTTGAGAGGCGCAAAAGTGAAGCGGTCGTAAATTGAAGCGGCGTAAACCGAGTCCTACCTGTATTCCTCTTGAATTGAACATTGCAGGATACATTAATGAAATGCTTGTTGAGGGTGATTATTAAACCAATTCATAACTTTTAATACCTGTGTCGTAGAAGTCTGCCGCCTGGGATTGGAACCACTGTGTGACAGCCATCTCCGCCTCTCTGTCATTCTCAAAACGCTGACGCTGACGCTGACCGGACAGGAATTTCTTGAGGTGTAGGAAAAGATGGAAATCACTGGGAGCGAGGTCCGGGCTGTAGGGTGGATGATTAAACACCTCCCAGCTGAACTTCTGCAGGAGACTTGCTGTCCGTCGAGCCGTGTGCGGCCTAGCGTTATCACTGACCGCACTTCACAGTCGGCGGGAGCTGGAATAAGAACCTCCATCTTCAACAGCTGCAACGATGCTACTGTGAGAACGCGGGAAGTGCCGTTAGTGCATGCGCCATGCTACGTCATTGCTCTATCACGTACGCACAGTCGCTTCGCGCAATATAAGGTTTGCTAGCTGTGGGACGAGTGGGAAACTTACTTTGAGGAAGCGCCTCGTATTTGAATTTCTGTAAAAGCGATTCTTGGAAATGATTCGAACAGTCACACATAAACATGTAGAAATGTGTTTACATTTTATGTCCGAGCGACTTCGCGTTCTAAGGGCCGGTGTGTAATGTTTTCTCATGCTCATAGGTTGACGCGAGGGTGGGATTGTCTTACCTTATGAACCATTTTAATGCGCTGAGACGTATGTTCACTGTTTAGACTTCCAAATTCGATTACTTTGGTACGAGGGCGTCGATTTGATAAAAGTCCGAGTACTTTACTTTATTTGGCGCAGGGGCGTAGCGAATGACAGGTGACGTTAATTTAGGGGAGGGCAGGAGAGCAGTGCAAAGTGTTCCTTGTTCGAATGTCCGTGGTCGCTAAATCCTGAAAATCACATGGCCGTGTTCTTTATCGGAGAGTGTTGCATCTACTTTGATGAAGGGGACGACACGTCAAGCCCCACAAATTGGAGAAGGGAAATGTCCACACACGTACACACTCTGGGGGAGGAGGGGATGTTTCCATGTTGCAAACTGAGCAGAAGATGAGGTGAAAGGAGGTGAGTACAAATATTGTAAATATAAAGGATGCAAAATGCTGTTGGTGTAGTTTCCAGTAAAGAAATTCTTCCCATTGAGCATATGGAGATGAACGTCGGCCTGTGTGATGCATCAGTGTGGAGTCTTGTCAAACAGCCTAGACTTCGCTGCGTCTTAGCAGATTTCGGCTCAAGTCGTCTTACCGAGAGACATTCTTTTACAGTCTTGCTGCCCTCAGGGTGTATGAACTGGACATTCTGTTTCAGGTCCTGGGGCTGGGTGTCTTGGCCATCGGGGTCTGGGCGTGGACGGAGAAGGACACGTTCAGGAACCTGACTCGTCTGACCAACATAGCCCTCGACCCTGCCTTCATACTCATATTAATAGGTGAGTTTCTACCGTCAGAATGTGACGTAGCTTGCGTCTCTGAGTGTGCCCGTGTCTCTGGGAGATACGCATGTTTGATGGGAGCTCCAGCTCAGCGAAATTGTTCCCAGTAGTAGGATGTGAGTGATGTTAGCCACGTTCGTAGTTTCTGACCAGAAAAATAAATGTAGTACTGAAACAGCTGTTCTGAAGTAGAGACCTCAAGCCTGCAAGTCACTCCCATATCATTAGACCACCGGGGACCTCAGATGTATAATTTATTGTGTGTGAAAGCCGTTCCGTAAACACTAACCTACAGACTCAGCCCATGTTTCCAGCTTTCGACAGTATTTTTCACTACAGGAGCATGCATGTTTATTGATACTGAAGCTACAGCTAATCGGTTGCTGAACAACTTCGTCATTAATATTAAAAAATAATAATTAAGACATGTAAGTCGCCTGAATGAGTGACAAGAAATAGTTGCTGAAACGTCGTGCGACACGGTGCGTCATCCCAGAAGCCTGCCTTCTTGCAGCCAGTGTCGATTGTCCGTCTGTTCTGCGAGGAAGTGGCAGGCACTCGGTGTACAGTGCAGGCTTTGGGTATGCTCTGTGTGGACTCGCGTCTCTGAGGCCACAGGCTTCTGTTATTCTGATCCGACAGAATGTCTCGTAGAAGCTCGGTGTCTACCTCTCTGTTTCTACTTTTCTCCTGCTCCTAGTTTCGCCGTTGCCTCTCATCGTCTGTACTGTGTTCATAAGGGCCCACCATTGGACCTTATCTTGAGGTAGCTGAATCCAACACGTCATTTTTTTCTCCATTTAAGCTCTTTAATGTCTTACGATCACTGAGATGGAATCCGCTTCATAAAGAGGATCGCAGAGGACCGAAGGATGTGGCCTTTAGGAAATGATGATGATGTCTTACGATCCTCACATTTGTACTTTGGTCTCAGAAGCTATCCTTACGCTTCATGTTGCCTTCTAGTGTAACTTTGTTCAAAAGAATGTTATGTCCCTTCTGTAAAACTCTGTAATTTCTTTAGATGAATATATTCCCCGTTTGGGGGGTTTCCCCCAAACACATACCAACATAGGCACATTGCAAGCCATAATCTTTTTGCAGAAGTGGTCTGAAGTGCTTACTACGATGTGCGATCAGAAAGTTTCAAGAGTGTGTCAATAGAGGGCGAACCGGATGCAGTACGAGCTTCTGCCGCTAGGGGGTGCGGCCTACATTCATAGTGAATTAGTGTGCCAGCCGGCATCATCGAATTAGCATTTGTTTCTTAGTTACGGGCGTTTTGGTAGTGCATTACACCGACCCTCCTGCGATTTCGGAATGGCGTGTGCGTCAAATTTTGCCGAAGACTCGCCAAAACGGCTACGGAAACCTATGAAATGCTAAAGCAAGCATTTGGGGAGTCCGCAATGGGTCGTGCGCAAACTTTTGTGTGGCATTCACGTTTTAAAAATGGCCGAACCTCTGTCGATGATGACGAGCGTTCTGGACGACCATCTTCGAGCACAACGCCCGAAAATGTTACGAAGATTCGGCAGGCCATTCACGAAGATCGACGTCGTACCATCAACGACTTGTGCGACATTGTTGGGATAGGCTATGGGACCTGTCAGCTGATTCTAAAGGAAGAACTCCACATGCGACGCATCATGACAACGCGCCAGCGCACACCGCCCTCAAAGTTCGGCAGTTTTTGGCCTCAAACACCATGGCCGTCAACCCGCACCCTCCTTATTCGCCGTGTGACTTCTTCCTCTTCCCAAAGATGAAAATTCAGCTAAAGGGAAGGAGATTTGAGACGATAGAAGAGATTCAGGCAGAATCGCAGATGGTGCTTGACAGGCTGACACAGAAAGATTTCCAGGGATGCTTCCAGGCTTGGCAGCTGCGCTGGGATCGTAGTGTTCACTCCCAGGGGAACTACTTCGAGGGTGATGGATGAATTTAATACCTGAGATAAGTGTACGGGTTTTTATAGGCGCAGTCTGGAAACTTTCTGATCGCACCTCGTATGTCATTTGCCTGGAGGTTATGAGTAAAAACTGCTGTCAAATGCGGTTGTGATCGCTGACCTCTGGGCCCAGATTCTCACTGGCGATGGTAATCACTAAACCCTGACGCTCGGTAACGTTGGCAGTGCATTTGTGTTCAGCTGAAATGAAAACGGGGGCCTCCACCAGCGGACCTGCTCAGCATTGTGGTGAACCAACTGCCTTCACGTGTGGGTGGTGCAAGGTACGAGTCTCCGTGTTGGGTTATTCACTCCAATGCAGCCGACATAGCATTGAGAGGCCTGCGTTCCATTTTAATGTAGACCTCTGCGTGTAATGAGTGCCCTGATCTTAGTGAGTGTGCTCTTCGGCTGTCTGTTGCAGCCCTGGTTGTATTTCTGTCCCACCTAGTTACGTTTTCATTAGTGCAGTTCCCCAGTGTTACGTGCGATTAAATGCGTTTAGGCCCCTGTCATTTGTTCATTGTACGTCACAGGGACCCTTGTTGGCCGAGTGTCAGTGTAAGAAATGACGGTCCTCACGACCATTCGAGTGAAATGGATTCTGTTTACTCTCTGCATGTTAGCCGACAAAAGATCTATTTGTAGCGTGTATCCAACGCTTGAATGAACTTTACTGTATTTACAAAAAACAAAACAAAAATCGATGTAAACTGTCGTCGTCTGTCCTTTCGATAACGCTGTGATTGATGAATCACGAAATGCGCATTTAACATGCCTCCAGTGAATGATTTCGTGTGCAGCTCGGCCAAAGTGTGGTTACGTATAACAATATCGAGAGAATACTAATCTTCGAAACAGACCGCTTGGCTCTACGCGAACAGTGTGTCTGTGCCGAGGTCAGACATTGAAAGAATGAGTGCTTTCACATTCGAAAACCTCGTCAGACAGAGTCTGACCCCCTAATCATCCCGCTAGTTTGTGTCAGTATTCTTGTCGTGCTGGAGAACCGCGGATGGCGTTGACTGGTAGACAGGAACTGTTATACGACACGACACCAGGCGAATACAAATTGGTTTTTGCCATTCGCTCCCTCGCGGGTTCGGCCTGTTTGCGAGGCGCCGCCGAGCGTCCAGATTGTCCACTGAGGCAGTCAGTGAGTGTGGGCATTTGGACTCCTGCTTCGGAAACAAAGCCCCCTCGTATTGTTTGCTTGTCGTAATTGGCATGAATGCTCTAGCGCAGGGAAGCTGTCTTCGGTATTCGTAAGCTGACGCTGGTAACAAACGGTCAGAAATATCGTGTGCTGTCATTTAGTTTTAAGAATATCGTATTTTCCCTCTTCCTTTGTGTTTTTCCACGTGTTCGTTGAACCACGTTACCGAATTTCACGAAACTTTGTAGGAACGCCATACCATACCAGTGTATATTTAAACCAAACCGTGCATGAATATTTTTTCTCTGGTCTAGCGGTTAGAACGCTGGCCTTGTAATCCTGCGGGTCTCGGGTTCGATTCCGGGCGGTGCCCGAATTTATAACTTGTGTTGGGCAAGGCCGTGGTCTAGGCAACACGGAGTTTTCCTCCGTGGCATCCCAACAATTACTCCATTCACACACAGAAGAAGGCAATGGCAAACCACTTCTGGATCATCTGCCAAGAACGTATATGAACAGGTCCCAGTCCGAGAAAAGGATGGAAGGATCCTGTTCATATGGACCTGTCGTCAGACAGAACACTAAATAAATTAATTCGTCTTGGTTAATGTGTTTCCTTCATATTATAGAACTACAAAATATGGATAAATATAACGTGATGAAATACAGAAATTTTAAAATACGATTATAGGAATAAAAAATTTAAAATAGATTACGTAGGTTCAGAACATTCTTCAGCAAATGCCCAACTATGTGTTAAATTCTTTTAGGCCTTCGGTCTGGATACGTATTGCCAGGTAAACCGTCTAGTGTTTTTAGGCCGCGTATTCTCGTCGAACGCAGATGTCCAGTCAGTCTTTTAACTGTGTTTTTGGAACCGGTGAAAAGTGTGTGTGGGACGAAATGTTGGCGATAATGTTGTGTGAAGTTCCTGGTCCCGAGTTCGAGTCCCCGATGTCCTGTTGTCCACGTGTTTTTTCCTCAGTTCTCCGCAGAGTCGTACTGAAGCCAAATTTTGGTTGAGATTATTTAGCCTAGTATTTACGTGTTCAGAATCAGTGTTTGCGTTTTGTGTTGCAGTCTCGGTGTGTTTGACCTCCGGAACGTAGAATGACTGCTTACTCACTCCACCGTTACGTGTGAGTGTCGTGTCACATCCGCGTTTGTCCCTGCCCGCCCATGGGCGGTGCTAGGTGTCGCCCGATTTACGATCTCCCAGACACATCACGTACATATGCAGTCCACAGTCACGTGACCGGTGTTTGCGAATTGTCATCATTCATGGGCCCATTTGGGTGTAATTATAATGATTACTTGCGCGTTCTTTTGTTCCGAGTTCGGAAGTGACAGACGGCGTCGCGAGAGGTCGGTCGTGTCTCTCGTGTCTGATTTTGATTCAGTTTACGACTCGTGGGGCCTACACTGAGAGCTGTCGCGGATGAATTTAATTTTCTCTCAGTCAGACAGACTGAGTACAACCCCTCATTTACACTGCATTCAAGTAGAACTTACTGTCGTGTAGTTTCTCAATGAAATATCGGCAGTCGGTAAAATATAAGCCTCATTGAGATTTTGAATTTTTAAATGAAACTTTTCTGGAGCAAGACTTATCATAGTTTTTCTTATCTTCTAACATAATGTTTTTTTCTTTTAACAACTGTCCTACTAGCACTGCTTAAGTAAGTGGTTTCGAGGAAAGAAAATCCAACGATTATTTAACAAAACGTTACATTAATTATCATTATTAATTATTTCAAGCACTGTTTTCGTTTTAGTTCAATATTATCTTCGTCCTTGTCCTCCTTGGTTGCTCTCCCCCACGCTGAAGTCAAAAGAAAAATTGATAGGGGAACCACGGTTCCGGAGAATTAGACGTAAATACGTCTATAC